TAACGTTGCTGGAAGTTAGATTATAATAAAGACTTCCTGAAACTGACTCACACCATCTTTTTCTTCTAGCCCCTGCACTACCTATGCCAGAATCCTCTTGGGCGAAAACACCCTCGTAGCTCAGGTGCCTGGGTTTCATTTTTCCTTCTGCCCCTCTGGTTCCCAGCCCATCTTTTGAGAGAAAAGTCATCTTGCAGCCCAAAGCTGCTATAAAATCCCTGAGGAATTAGATGGGTGCCCACCAAAGTCCTAAGAAGTGGGTAACTCCTCTGTACAGTATCATCTTCATAGTTTCTACAGCAAAGGGCACCAACAGCTCCCTTTATTCACATCTCCCTAAGCACCCTAGTCCATCTTTACTCGGAAAGGTCTTCCCCACCCGCAAGAGCTGCTTCTCTTCCTGCCTGCTGTTCCAGCCTCTGCCTGGCTGCTCCATTGACCCCTCTAGCCTTCCTCACAGCCCTCTGGACCATCCCCACCCCACCCCCACTCCATCCCATCCCATCCCTTATACTGGGCTGATCATTCTTCCTCCCAGTTTTTCAGTCTCTCCCCATGCCTTCCACCTGGTTTGAGGGCAGGTGGTCCCTCTGTGTGCACATTCTCCGGGTGGGCTTCTGCATCATCCTGCACCCCTCTTTGTGCAGAGTGCTCTCGACTCCAAATGGCTACCTCATCAGTACACACCAGACTGGCCTGACATTTTTGGTTTCCAGTTTATTCTTCACCAGATCCTGAGCTCCTGGAGGGCACCAGATTCTTGAGGGCAACAGTTCAATCAGCTTTGGGATTTCAGGGCCTTACTAGGCCTGGAGTGGAATGCACTCCGCAAATGTCTGTTATGTGGATCTGTGCATATCTGTGTATCTTAGTTAACATTATAAAAGCTTTATTCACTATCTCCTCTATTCGTCCATTGATAACTCTGTGTTAGCCCGGGGATAGGCTCTGATCTGGGGCCTAGACATGTCCAGCTCTGGGCCAGAAAGGGGGGGGGGCGGGGTTAAGCAGAGAGCTGTCCTAGGCTGTGCTGGCAGAGCTGTGCCCCAAGCTCAGTGCCAGGGTGCCTGGGGCCAGGCCCGGGGCAAAGGGCAGAGGCCCCACCCTGGATCTGAAGGGGGCAGGAAAGGGGTGCCAAAGCTGGGTCCACTGTCCGTGCCCCCCCCTCACAAGAGTTCCCTGCCCCAGGCTGGGCAGGATGTGGTGGCAGCTGCAAGAGGGTGGGCAGGATGTGGGGGTGGGGGCAGCTGAAACGAAGCCTGACATTCGCCTCCCCAGCTCCTCCCTTCTTCCCTCTCCCCCCCCATCCGCCCCCTCCAGGTCACGTGCTTCCAGCCCGGGCACCGACGGACTATTTCTCCCTTTCCGCGGAAGGACATAATTGACATCGCAAACTCAAGTCACCTTCGACTTCAGCCGTACCACGCCTTTTTCTTGCCTCGTAGCCCAGGACAGAAAGTTTGCCAGATACACATTTCTTTAGCTCCCTGACCACTAATTCGGGAGTGGCCCCTTTAAATGCAAATGAACCGCCTTCTCGCTCTCGCCCCCCCACCCCCATCCCAACTTCGCTCCTCGTGCCCAGACTCCGCCAGCTGCCATTGACGTCACGCGTGCGTCAGCGTCGCCAGCCCAACCAGACGGCACGTGGGGGGAAGAAGGTGGCCTTAAAGGGCCAGACGCCTTTGGCTTGCCGGGTTGCTGTTCTGAGTTTGGCCTTGAGAAAGAGGAATGAGATGAGAAGTGGGGAAATCTATTGGAACAGGAAGAAATGCAGGACAGACGTTAGGGAGGACAGGTAGGAGTTCTGCTCCTTCGCAGAGTAGGAGGGCCAGGCCTTTCCTCTAGATTCCCCAGGAGTTTGGGGTTTGCGCCTGGGAGAGCAGAACAACCCTGAAGGTAAAGGAGGCTGGCATTTAAGACTTGCCCGGTTATACCGTCAGCCCTTCCTTCACCCCTGCCCAGCACGCCCACAGTGCACGGACTTCGTTCTCTTCGGTATCTCCGGCACCAAGGGGACAGGTATTTGGTATTTGCAGAAGTGGTGGGATCCGGTGCAAAGCCGCCTCCTTCAGGAGGCTTTCCCTGACTGCACCTACCCTCCCCCCCCAAAGACGTCCTCACTCTCTCGAACACCCACAGCGTTTAACGACCCTGCATATTCCTTCCATGCATTAGGGACCGCAAGGCAGTGCTTAAGTGCACGGGCCTCAGAATCACGGAGACATGGGTTCCAGTTCCATTTATACTGTTTTCTAGCTGAAGGATTTGGGACAAGTCTCTTCATCTTAGTTCTGCTTAGTGTCAAATGGGGCTACTGCTGTTCTGACCATAGACTTCTCTGACGAAGCTCTTGTATGGGATCTGTTTCATGTAAGCACTCCACAGTGGAAGGGAGTAGGTTTTAGGATGCCCATCTCCCCCACTAAACTGTGCTTCTAGAGAGCGAGGCCCTTGCCATTACTAATTTAGTCCCAGAACCAACACAGTGCAAGGCTTATAGCTGGTGACTTTAAAATGTCTGTTGAATGAGTAAACATGAATGAATGAATGATTTCTGTATTTCCTGAGATCTGACCTCCAAACCCACCCCCGAAGCGCTTACCCAAAGGGAGAAAACTACAAATGCCCCCTCTGTGCCCCCAGGTTTTTAGCTCTGTGGCAGAGCCTCAAGGTGGAGTTGGGATGAGGCCCTAGTCACTGTGGTTGAACCAAAAGTATTATGCAAACAAGCCGCAAATGATCGGTCTGCAGTGGAGACCTGAGGGGCCTCCCCACCCCTCCCCAGCCCCAGCTGAGGTGATAGAACCCTGACCCAGGAAGCCAGGGCCGCTAAAAGGGAGCTGGAGGAGGAGAGTTTCTTGCCCCTTCAGGGTTTCTTAGCCCAGACCCAAGTCCGTCTTTGGCCTTTTCCTTTCCGGGGCCAAGGCTAATCCGACGCCAGCCCCCCTGCCCTGCTCTGAACCTCCATCGCCCACCCCAGCCTTCCTGGGCCCTATGGCTTCCCAGTAGTTCTAGTGAGGGGTGAGGGGGAGGGCACGAGACCTCCTACCACCTGATTCCAGCTCGCTGGCCAGAGGAGCAGTAACCACCCCATCCTGGTTCAGCCTGTCTCGCAGCTGCTTATCGATCTGATTTTCAACATCTGTCACCATCTCTGAAGTAGAAGGGCCGACTTCCTCCCTGGGGAGGAGCTCTGAGCAGGTGGCACTGAGAGCCCCCTCCTTCCTTGCAGACCAGGGAAGAAGTGATGAGACCCTCCTGTGCTTGAGAGCAACCCTGTCAACTCAGGAACCCTGAGGGGACCAGGTGGGTCCCCACAGGAATCTCCCATCAGCCTTGATGCTGGCTCCGCCCCCTGCAGGGGTAGGGTGCTGCCCAGGAGCACTCTGTGTTCCAGAAAACCCCAAAATAACCCAACTTTGCTGTCCAGCTGCTATTTCTGTCCATCTTGTTTAATTATTCAAACCCAAGTTGGGGAGTGAACTATAAAAAGCTCTCCTACTTGGGGACCCAGGAGAGCCGGGAGGCTCGCCAGGTTGCAATAGGAGCAGAGCACATGGTTTGGGTGAGGTCACTTGGTCCGGCCTCCGGCGTGAAAGTTCCATCTGCTGTTGGCCTGATTCCTCTGCTAGAAGGCAGACTCCAGGCCTCCCTCCCTGAGCCTCCCTCCAGCCCTCATCTCTGCACCCCTCCCAGCCTGTCCCGCCTGGGAGCTGGGCCCCACCCGCCTTCCTGTACTCTGGAAGTGTTTCCTCTCAGCCAACCCTTCGCTGACTGCTTCCTAGTCCTGGTTCTTATCCCACAGATCCTATTATAAGACCCCAGCGTCCGGGACGGGGGGGGGGGGCAGGAAGTGCAGGTAAAGAGGTCAAGCCAGGTGGACACAGACAGGAAGATGGATACCGTGCCCTCAGAGGGCACTCCGTCAGCGGGGGCTGGGGGGCGTTTCTGCTTTTCTGGGAGAGGCAGGCTCCTGACTGTCCCAGCGGCTGAGCCTCTTCAGGGCTTCTCTTGGGGACTTTGACATTGTGGCTGAAGGGACAGAGGGAAGGCAGCAGGAAGGACTTTGATTTTCTGGGCCTAATCCTCTTCTGGTTGGCCGCAAGTTCAGCGCTAGTTTCCATTGAAACTGAAGTCCAGGGCGCCTGGGTGGCTCAGTTGGTTAAGCGACTGCCTTCGGCTCAGGTCATGATCCTGGAGTGTCTGGATCGAGTCCCGCATCGGGCTCCCTGCTCGGCAGGGAGCCTGCTTCTGCCTCTGACCCTCCCCCCTCTCATGTGCTCTCTCTCTCTCTCTCGTTCTGTCTCAAAAAAAAAAAAAAAAAATCTAAAAAAAAAAGAAAAAAGAAACTGAAGTCCAGGGCAGGTGAATGTGGAAGCTAGGTGCCCCTAGGGGCCTGTTCTGTGACCCTCCCTCCCAGCACAGGCCTTTCCTAGAAAGGTGATAACAGGGGGCGGGGCCACGGTTGCTATAGCAACACAGGGAGCGAGGGGATTGGTGCCGGGCCGGCCTTGCTCCGTCTGCGCAGGAGGGGCCCAAGGAGAGGCTGGGCCGGCGCCTGCGACAGAGGCCAGTGGAGGCGGGGTTACAGGATGGACCCGAGGACAAGGGCTTTGAGCCCCGCGAGAGGAACAGACCACAGGGGCAGACGCAGAGACCCGGGGCAGAATTGGGGGCGGGGGGACGTCCAGTGTGGGAGGCGACGCAGCCGGCGGGCAGGCGCTGGGCCAGGACTTTCCAAGAGTCAGTGCGGGGCCTCAGTGTTCACAGAGGACCCTGGGCTTCACATTCGGCCTATTTTGGGGCTTGTTCCCACACGTTCCCTGGCGGCGGCTCCTGTGAAGTCCAGGCTGCCCCCCCAGCCCCGCCCCTGCCACGGCTCTGCCCGAGCTACCGGGGCTGTTGCTGAGCAACCAGAGGCTGTGCACCTGGAGGGCATGGGAGGGGGCCCGGGCGGGGACAGTAGGGGCGGGGACAGTAGGGGCGGGGAGGCAGGGAGACCGTGCAGACGCCGGGCGGACAGAGCTCAAGGCTCCTCCTCCCACCCTCCTCATGCCAGTTGCAGAGGAGGGATGCACTCGTTACCCAGTAAGTGTGTTGATGAATGTGTACATGTGCGGTCCTTCTCCACGATGCTGTGACCACGTAGCCCCCGCGGGACTATCTCTGAGGACAGGCGGGGCGGGGCGGGGCAAGAAGGACAGGTTAAGCATCTTTCACTGGCCATGGGAGGGGTGAGGGCTTGCCCTGCCCAGGACAAGGTAGGGGCCCCTGTGGAAGTGAGGGGCGCCAGGGGGCAGCTGGGTGGGGAGAGGACCTCCACCAGCGTCCGGTGAGAGAGGGGCTCCCCAGAGGAGAGACTGCCTGCAAGTCCGAGTGTTCTCAAGGCTGGCGTTCTCCACCGTATTTCATTATTTTTATTCTGTTATTTTCCGTATATTTTAGGTGGACTGGAGTCTGACAGAGGTAGCCATCAATAGGAACGACTCTTCTTTGTGCTTGGAGCCCTGATCCCCATCCAGCTGCATCTCTGCCAGGCTGAGGAAGCCGCCCGGGCCGTCCGCAGTGTCGACACGGGGCTGTCACCACTCTTGACCCGTGGCTCTGCCATCGGCTCAGCTCCCATGCAGAAAGAGCACCTTCGTGGGGCGAGCGTTTGTGCACCTGTGACGGGGCCCTGGGGAAGTGGCCTGGGGTGGGTACTGCGCATGCTGCACGTACTGGTTGGGAACCCTTGCTGTCTGTCCTGGCGTGGTCCCCGAATTCTGCAGGGAACCTCTCGGTAAAGGCTGGGAAGTTGCCAGCCACCCACCTCCCACACCCCAGACTTGCCCCCGAGGGCCGTGTTGCTGGGAAGACACAGGGGCCTCCTGATTGCTGACCCGGGAGAAAGAGAGAAAACGGGGGATAAAGGGTACAAGCTTGGCTTGTTTTCATCTCTGTTTCATGCCAGACACTCTGGAAGGCCCGAGATGCACTCTTGCCATCGTCATTCAACGAACTGTCCATTGGTCACAGAATTCTCACCCTCCTTGTACAGATGATGGAACAGAAGCTCAGAGAGGTTAAAGAGCATGTTCGTAGTCACACAGCAAGAAGGGGCTCTGGGTTCGAAGCCAGGCCTGTCTGTTGCCCTGACTATGGGGTCACAGGGACACTGGAGGGGCCCAGGAGTCCACACGGAGGGGAAGCCCCAGAGCACAGTTAGTACCCTCACGGACTCAGTGTTCCAAGTGCTAATAAAGAAGAAGAGGGCCCTCAGAACCCCGTGTGCTCACACAGCGACCTCAGAGTTGCTCAGGCTTAGAGAAAGCCAGCAGAGAAGGCCGGGTCAGGCAGACCTGAGGTCCCGTCCCAGCTCAGCCATTTCTAGCTGTGTGACCTTCGGCAAGCCACTGACCCTCTCTGAGCCTGGCTTTCCGCAGTGATAGTGGGAAGCTGATACTCCTAGTTTACAATAGAAAAGGCAAACAACGTGTGTTTGATACCTTGCAACAAAGCCCCTCTCCTTCCATCCCTCCAGAAGGCGAAGATCCCCTGTGACCGAGGGCAAGTTGCAGGGCCCATGCAAACTTGGCGGAGCACCAGCTGTGCTCTGGGGGAGCCCCGAGCCTCGCCACGGTTTGTGGAAGGTCTCTGAGGTGTCTTCCTCCCTCGTGGCCAAGGGGAAGTCACGCGTGGAGCCAGTTATCAAGAAAGGGCCAAAAAAGCGTCCTCTGCTGGAGAGGTGAGTAATGACAACAAGTGACCAAGGGGACAATTGCTAGGACTTCTTCCCGTTCCTCCCATAAGACAGATATTCAAAGTGGAGACCAGAGAATGGGAGTTCTAGAACAGAATAGCATCCCCACCCGCTCGTTCATGGCTTCCTGTGTGCACCGTGGGGAGCTCGGCTGCAGACCCCTAGTTTGTAGCCCGTCGCAGTGGCCTTGCCTGGTCTGGGAGGCATTTTGGTTTTGGGGTTTTTTTTTTGTTATTTAAAGATTTTATATAGTTGACAGAGAGAGAGAGTACAAGCAGGGGGAGCAGCAGGCTCCCCGCTCAACAGGGAGCCCAGTGTAGGGCTCGATCCCAGGACCCCAGGATCATGACCTGAGCCGAAGGCAGACACTTAACTGACTGAGCCCCCCAGGTGCCCCCTGGGAGGTATTTTGGAGAAAGAAGTACCAAGACTGAAGGGGAGAACAGGAGGCTCCAGGGGAACTAGGGAAGCTAGATACTCACAGCTCCAGGCTGAGCCTCACCACAGTTTTGGAAGGTCAGAGAAGAAGGCGGGCGCGGGCTGGGGGTGCCAGCCCCCAACCACTCGGGCACGCGCAGGCCCAGCCAGCAGGCGGCCAGAACCGCCCAGAAGCGCAGCCCGCTGCCAACCTGCGTTCACCAAATGCACAAGTGATTTGAATGTACATTCGGGACCGAGAAGCACCTCTCATCACCGGAGCAACAGTTAGTAACTGTGTGGTCATGGCTGGACTACTGGTGGTGACAATTTCACAGCACACACAAGTATCGAGTTCCTTACGTCCTACACCTGCAGCCGGTATGCGGTTATATGTCAGTTCTATCTCAAATAGAAGGGAAGGGAGGACAGACCGAGCATTGCTGCTGTGCGCTGTGCATGGACCCTGTGCCCAGGAGCGGGATCTTTAAAGGTGTCATCGGGAGCTAGGAGCTCCTCAAGGGCCCTACCTCTAGGAAGGTTAGTGAGGAGCGGGGCGTGCGGGGCCCTGCAGTTCCTTTCGTTTGACACGGTGGGCTTCCACGCAAGCCTTCCTTTGAAGACCCAGCCCCAGACAAAAGAAACCCTCTGTGCTCTGTTACGGGATGTCTGCTGTGGAATGCCGCACAGCAAGACGTGGGGCCGGCCCTGGGACACACAGCGGTCGGAGACATATTGTCCAACGAAAAAGCAAGTCTCTTGGGGCGCCTGGGTGGCTGAGTCGTGAAGCATCTGCCTTCGGCTCAGGTCGTGATCCCAGGGTCCTGGGATCGAGCCCCGCATCGGGCTCCCTGCTCCACGGGAAGCCTGCTTCTCCCTCTCCCACTCCCCCTGCTTCTGTTCCCTCTCTCGCTGTGTCTTTCTGTCAAAAATAAAAAACTGGGGCACCTGGGTGGCTCAGATGGTTAAGCGTCTGCCTTTGGCTCAGGTCATGATCTCAGGGTCCTGGGATCGAGTCCCACATCGGGCTTCTGGCTCAGCAGGGAGCCTGCTTCTCCCTCTGCCTCTCCCCCTGCTCATGCTCTCTCTCTCTGTATCTCTGTGTCTCAAATGAATAAATAAAATCTTAAAAAAAAAAAATCTTAAAAAAAAAAAAAGAAAAGAGGGGCGCCTGGGTGGCTCAGTCGTTAAGCACCTGCTTTCGGCTCAGGTCATGATCCCAGGGTTCTGGGATCGAGTCCCACATCGGGCTCCCTGCTCAACAGTGGGGCACAGCAAGGTGTTGGAAGAGCACGTGGGACAGGACATGTGCCCATCTGTGGAATGTACATTCTGCCACAGTATGTTTGTACACATGAAGGTAAATATATAGAAGAAAGTCCCAGAAGGATCTACACCAAAATACCACGGGCTTCGCCATGGAGAAGATGGGGTACAGGTGTGTTTTACCTGCTTTTGTATGTATGACTTGAGTCCTTGGAGATGATATATACATTATTTTGTTTAATGAAAAGGGAGAGAAGAAAAAAGGAAGAGAAGCCAAGTAAAACTTTGCTGTAAGCCCTTCATAATAAAAGGTTTGATAGATTGGTATTTCTGGAGAATATCGCCCAATGCACCTGCATTTCATGAACCCATTTAATTAGGTTGGTTATATTTTATTTTATTTATTATTTAATTTTAATTTTTTTAAGTTTACTTATTTTT